AGAGTTTTAGATGGGGCATCGGGACATACCCAACAAAATGACGAAAAGCACATTCCAACATAGAGCCACGGCACTACGACCCCTGATACGTCACTTTCCTCAAAAGATAGCACTGAGCCTGGCAATCGTGGAAAGTTATTCAGGTTCCATCCTGACCGTACATACTGATCTGAGCTGCCTCCATTCGTGGTGGAAGCTGCTTTGGGAAATCCACTTCCAAATGCACCCGCTTCTAAATCAGCCCCATAATATATCTGTGGCACAATAAACGATAACACCAACACCAGTTATTATCTCAAGAAAATCCCTGATCAAGCCGTAAAAGTAAGTGATGAAAATCTCGATCCATACCTCAACCTCATCCGTTGGCTGCTCTACTATCCGCCAGTATTCACCCTCAATGTCCTCTACAGAGGGCTCCCATCTTTTGTTTGACTCAGTCAGCACATTAGTTCTTTGATCACTCTTAGTATCCTTGCATCCAAAATAACATTCTTTGAAGTCAGCAGCATGTTTTTCGAAATCTGCAAGGGTGAAATCGGGTCCAGTCTGGAAGCCAAACTTCTCATCACAGTCTGAAGCAGAATTAGGTTCCAACTTAGAGTTGGGATTCGCTTTGCCAGTCCTTCTGGAGTGCCTCTTCCTCTTCCTCTTCCGGCTTCTTTTCTTTCTCATGGGCTCCCTATTTTGGAGCAAATCAACTAGCTGGATTCTAGTGGAGAATTTTGAATGTTCCCATATGTCTTTCTCTTTAAGACGGCAAGGAGGAATCCAGGAAATTGGTGGGACTATCCGGCATATTCCATATGATTCTGCTTGATGATGTATCTTTGATATGTATGCAAGTGTATCTTCAAATTCCTGATGATCATTTGTAAGTGTAAACAAAGTTTTCACACTTTTAACAACACTAAGAACATGGCACTGTGATCACCAATGCCAACCACGTAGACGTGATACTCAAATGGCCAAGCACAAAGGGTTACCTCTGCAGTTGGGTAAAATACTGGAGCAGCGTCAATCATAGGTCGGCATGCTTCAGCAGGATCCCACCTCGCTGACATCTGCAATAGTTGTATTGCAGAATGGTCATGCAACCCCTTTTTATCTCAATAATCCAGAACTTCAAAGAAAGAATCATTCACAGCTTCACTCATCATAGATATATTTGCTCCAAAATCCAAGACAAGATGACCTATTTTAAATTACTGAACAAGAAAATGAGTTGCAAACCTTTTTTATGCAGTTGGATGTTCAATTTTACTTATCATCACTGTAAGGTACCAAATTGAAATTGTGATCTTTAAGACCTTCACGGTCAAATATGTTTACACTAAAAGGTCATATACTATGCTAAACAAGATGCATTAGCAGTTCGAAATTTATTGAAATGATCCAGGGAAAGACTTAGAGAATCTCGAAGAAGAGATACTTAGAAGTTGATCACAAACATAGTAGCAAGAAATAAATTGAGGAAGACAATCAAGAAACAAATCTAAAAAATCAACTAACAAAGACACTATAACCACAGAGTTGACACAGTGTTGAATCCCGTGATAACATAGATCAAATTTTGAGGGCTTCAAAAGTTAGGGTTACAAGGATCTATTAAGGACTGCAAAACATGTGATAGTGGTGTAAAGTGGAAAAGATCAATTGTAAATAAATGCTAAAATGGCGAATTTATCAGAGAGGACCAGCAAAAATGAAATCTTGATGTACAGTACACGAACCACAGACAAACCCACCAACAATATTGGGAAATCTGACCTCTTTAGGATGAGATTCTGTCGCAGACCCGAGCTGTGCCATTGGCTCGCAACAACCCTAAATCTTCAACAGTTGTTCCAGCATGAGAGAATCTTCTTGCTCACGCCAGGTATAGTTGAAGACCTTTAACAAAAGAAACGGCGCAAACAATTGTCTCAAAACTATTCCTTCCCCGATCGATTATAATCAGACCTCAGTGGACACGAAACCCTAGAATCAAAACAGAATACAGGAGTCATGACATTCCAAATTATGAAAAAAAAATTAGCAAACAGACAATCAAATTCACAGAAAACAAAAGGGTGATTAATTTTAAATAACATGAAGAGATACTGAACGTAAAGACATTTGATTAGTACCAATTGAACTGGCAACCCCACATGAATTGAACAAACAAATGCCTGACAAAAGATAAACCCTACACAAAACATAAAGATGGCAGAAAATTGTAGACAAAAACAACAGGCACAGATTGAACAGCACAAAGATGAGCGCAAAAGATTGCACCAATCAATCAAAACCATATAGAGCAAAGGGAGTACCTTCAAGAAAGGCGCGGACCCTAGGGAGGAGGCACACAAACTTGTTGAGCCCCTCGTGTTGATATCTGCCCCCTTTTATTTCCTTCTTCTCTCCCTAATAAGACCTCCTTTTCCTTGTTTTGGAACTTCCAAAAAATAAAGAAAACCTGCCTGTGATCTTTTGTTTCCAAGTGGGTAATCCGGAAAAGGAAAGGAGGAGTAATCCCAGAACGAATTTGGGTAGGGTAAGGAGTCCTTCTCTAAACTGGGGAAGTCTTGAATCTTGTTTTCTTCAGATTTATCAGTTACGTTCTTTGAAGCCTCAGAGAGAGAGAGAAAAAGACAGAGAGAGAGAGAGAGAGAGGGAGAGAAAGATAAGTGATTGAGTGAAGGTAAGGGTCAAGGCAGGAGGAAGGAACCCGCCCAAACGCACGCTGTTTTAACGGAAATCTACGAGAGACCAACCAACCAACCAAAGTCAGAGGAGAGACACGACGCCAAAGTCTCTCTGCCCCCTCTTTTGACACAGCCCAAACCTAAAACGCTGCTCTTCGTTTTCAGCAGTTTTGGGCCAATCCCACGCTGTCGTGCCCGCAAGCACTGTTCTTCTTACGCGGCCATGAAGACTGGCCCCCTGACCAATTCCTCTCGTGGACCTTTTGAAGTACTTTCCTGGGTGCTGATATGAAGATAAGTACAACGCTAACTTTGGCGTGTATCACATTTGCTAATCACTTATAATATCACTAATAAGTCGAAATATAATGAAAAGTTACCCATTTGAGTCATTATTCGAAAGTATGATACCAAGGCGATGGCACCGTCGAATAAGAGTAGCCTTTTTTAACTGCTAATTACCTTTCAGATAGTATTGACAGCTGAACAGGATAAATATGGAGCGAATTTGGAAAAGAATCCTGATACAAAATTTCCTAATTATAGGATGATGGGAAGTGATTGTGTGACGGCTCCGTCACTCCATCCGTCACTTTTAATGGAGTGACGGAGCCGTTTCCGCCACTTATTTTTCCATTCGGTTTGTAAGAGAAAAGGAGATTTAATACATTGTTCTTTGTACTTAATGAAAAGCAAGTGGAGTTTCTCCGATTGCCCACCCCATGGAAAATTAAGTGATTGGTTCTCCTTGCACCGTTACCGCATGAAAGTGACCGCACCATCATGCTAGCATCCCTCTTGGACAATATTTCTTTTCTCAAAAAAGAAAATCAAACCAACAAGAAGAAAACATGACAATTAAATGCAAAACTCAATTCTTTTGTAGCGTATTCGCGAAAATATTTTCACCTATAATAAATACAATGAAAGTAAAATTAGTAACCCATACATGTATTTTACCGAACAAGTAAAAATAAGTACACTGCAATAAGTCTCTTCCTGGCCTTTGTTGAACTAAGACCCAATACTTATTCAAATTATTTTGAATTGAAAATTGGCTAGCATGGTGAAAAGTAGTAGAGTTGCACAAAAGAAAATAGTGAGGCGAAAATTAGTAAGTTTTAAAATAAATCTCATTTTTTTGGCTAGTCACGAGATGATGATTTGGATTTTCAAGTTTAGTTGGACTGCTATAGCTTAAGCTGAATTTATTGATGCTTTAAATTATGTAGATTAGGTGTTTCCATTACTAAAACAAATAGTCTTTAAATTACATTAGAAGTCATAGTAGAAACATTTAAATTTAGTAAGTTTGTAAATTTTAAGATTTGGACTTCTATCAGTTTTAAGTCGGGTAAGACATTAGAATTTACAAATTTAGGGTGACAATAGAAGCTATGCTAGATCTTTTTTCGTAATTAAGTTTGTGATCTATGGCCAAAAATGAAATTAAGTTTGTGATTTTTCTCTTAGTTATTGCCACAATCCTAGTAAGTAGAAACCAATCAAACAAGTGACCCAGTTTCCAGTTTTAAATGAGTCTTTCAGCAACACCAGACCACATTCCTGTTCAAACCCCATGTTAAAATGCATCACCAAGAAACTGCATTATCTTAATCCACACCTTCTTCCTGACATAGATTCAACAAAAACATTCTGAAAAGTGCAAGTATGAATGCATCTGGAGGTTAATATGTTTCGCCAATTTCTGTCTTTATTAAGATTGCCGGAACGAGGCCTCTTCAACCGATGGGGATAGAATCAAATTTGAGCTCTTTAAACCCGTCGAATCGTCAATCATCACTCAACGTATATTTTTACACCCTATTTTCCTACTTTGACCCTCAAATTCAAAAACACAGGTGATACAGGTCAGACCTGCTTGACCTTGTCTAAAAGCTCATAAACAGGATGGACCTTTAGTCAGCATATTCAAGCATGGACACAGCATTTCAAGCATCTGGCATTACTAAGTTAGCTAGAACTTTGTACACCATATGTCTTGACTGATTAGTGTTGGAAGTCTAATATTATTTCAATTTCAATAATATTGACAATTACCAAACAACCGTTTCTTGAAGTTCCAGGCGTTGCCTCACCACATTGTTGCAGTAAAAGGTCAGAAATTTGCGTTGGATGCCACTGGCTTGACAACAGGCCATTTTCACATAGCAGAGCTACAGAAAACCACTTAAAATTGTATTTGAGTTTCAGGTGGGGAATGGATCTCAAATATATACCTTCCTCGCTGTTGCCCTCCAAGCACTCGTGTATGCGATCTATTCTGTTTGCAATTGCAAAATAGGCCCCAAAGTCACCCAAAGCATCTCGGTAACATGGATTATGAAGAAGTGGAAGCCAAGAAGGTGCGTCAATAAACTCCAGGTCTTCTTCAACCCTTTATTCACTGCAATCACCAGGTAAAGCATCAAATCCAAGGAATTCGGTACTTCACTCATATGCCCCAAAACTGAAACGCAATAGGCATACATCAACAACACCTCGACCAGGGTATTTTGGTGTTCAGTATCTAAGCTCTAGGTAATGGCAAATGGAGTTCTCAGCCCTATGGTTCATATGCTTTGCAATTATAAACTTCTAACTCTTTGCAGCTAAACTTCTACATCAACAAAGAGATCAAAAGATAAACCAAAGATTAGAACCATACACCAACTAATATCTTAGCAAATAACACTACAAAAAAACATGAATTTTGCGACGGAAATTTGCGACGGAAATTTTTCGTCGCTAATTTGCGACAAACTTTGCGACAGATTTCTAATTCCGTCGCAAATTAGCGAAAATCGTCACAAATTTTCCGTCGCAAATTTGCGACGGAAAATAAGTCCGTCGCAAAATTCGTCGCAAATTTGCGACGGAAAAATTCCGTTGCTAATTTGCGACGGAAAATAAATCCGTTGCAAAATTCGTCATAAATTTGCGACGGAAAATTTTCGTCGCTAATTCCGTCGCAAATTAGCGACGACTAATTTTTCGTCGTAAATTTGCAACGAATTTTGCGACGGATTTATTTTCTGTCGCTAATTTGTGCAATGAAATTTACCATTTTGCGACGAAAGTAGAGACGAATTGGATGATTGTCACAAGTTCAAATTCAAAAGAGATTGGACGATTTGCTACACGTCCAATTCTAAGAGAGATTAGATTTACAAATTCAAATTAGATAAGAAGATCTATTATAAACTCAAGATATTAGATAATCTCTTAAAATGTTCTCATCCCAAATAAGCTTTTTTAGATTCGATAGGTGCAAATCTTATCTTTTCTTTTTTCAAGACTTAGATATAGATAACGCAGATATCTATTTAGTTGAATGTGGCGGTTTCCTCCGCACGTAGCTATTATGTATGAGTAAATATATGGGTAAATAAATTATAGCAATTTTCAAATAGATCGGAATCGGGTGGATGTATGAAATGTAAAGTCAATGTATCTATATAGGGATATCTATAGGAGATCTTATAAAAGAGATATTCTTATTTAGACCTAACCAATTTGATCTAACCAATTAGATGAATTACTCCTAAAGGGTTACATCCGAATGATAAGTGAATAGAGGGCATGCATTCTATTAGAGAAATATTTAGAAGATTCCCTATATTTCCTTTAATTGATTGTAATTGATATTTTCCCTTTTAGATAGTCATCCTATAAAACCGATAAATAGGTTCGTGTACTCTTCATTTGACAATGATATATATATATATATATATATATATATATATATATATTTTGCTCTTAATTTTTTTTATCACATTCTTGACTTGGTATCAGAGCCCTATTATTATTTGAGAAAGTGTCAATCGAGTTTGTTTGTAACAATGACATCCACATCAATCATGTTTCTCCACAGTATTCGTAATGCTAGTCACATTATATGTAAAAGTGTAGAAGCATATCTACTTAAAGTTACGACGAAATTAGCGACGGATTTGAAAAATTGGTCGGTAAAAACATTTCCATCGCTAATTCCGTTGCAAATTTGCAACGGAAACAAAATCTGCGATGGAAAAAAAAATCCATCTCAAATTTTGCGACGGAAAAAAAAAGCAGTTGCAAAAATTTGTGACGGATTTTATTTCCGACGAAATTTGCGACGGATTTGAAAAATTGGTCGGTAAAAACATTTCCATCGCTAATTCCGTTGCAAATTTGCAACGAAACAAAATCTGCGATGGAAAAAAATCCATCTCAAATTTTGCGACGGAAAAAAAGCAGTTGCAAAAATTTGTGACGGATTTTATTTCCGACGAAATTTGCGACGGATTTGAAAAATTGGTCGGTAAAAACATTTATCGCTAATTCCGTTGCAAATTTGCAACGGAAACAAAATCTGCGATGGAAAAAATCCATCTCAAATTTTGCGACGGAAAAAAAAGCAGTTGCAAAAATTTGTGACGGATTTTATTTCCGTCGAAAATTTGCGACGGATTTTATTTCCGTCCCAAATTTGTGACGGATTTTTTTTTTTCGTCGCAAATTTGCGACGGATTTTTATTTTTCGTCGCAAATTTGCGACGGATTTTTTTTCCGTCGTAAATTTGTGTTGGATTTTATTTTTGGGGCAAATTTGCGACGGATTTTTATTTTCCGTCGCAAATTTGCGTCGTTTTTTTTTTTTTGGGCAAATTTGCGACGGATTTTTTTTCCGTCGCAAATTTGCGACGGATTTTATTTCCGTCGCAAATTTGCGACGGCTTTTTATTTTCCTTCGCAAATTTGCGTCGGATTTTATTTGTGGGCCAAATTTGCGATGGGTTTTATTTCCATCGAAAATTTGCGACGGATTTTTATTTTCCGTCGCAAATTTGCGACGGATTTTTTTTCCGTCGCAAATTTGCGTCGGATTTTATTTTTGGGGCAAATTTGCGACGGGTTTTATTTCCGTCGCAAATTTGCGACGGATTTTATTTCCGTCGCAAATTTGCGACGGATTTTTATTTTCCGTCGCAAATTTGCGACGGATTTTTTTTCCGTCGCAAATTTGCTACGTATTTTTATTTTCCGTCGCAAATTTGCGACGGATTTTTTTTTCCGTCGCAAATTTGCGACGGATTTTTTTTTTCCGTCGCAAATTTGCGACGGATTTTTATTTTCGTCGCAAATTTGCGACGGATTTTATTTCTGTCGCAAATTTGCGACGGATTTTTTTTCCATCGCAAATTTGCGTCGGATTTTATTTCCGGGGCAAATTTGCGACGGATTTTATTTCCGGGGCAAATTTGCGTCGGATTTTTATTTTCCGTCGCAAATTTGCGATGGATTTTTATTTTCCGTCGCAAATTTGGGACGGATTTTTTTTCCGTCCCAAATTTGCGATAGATTTTTTTTCCGTCGCAAATTTGCGTCGGATTTTATTTCCGGGGCAAATTTGCGACGGATTTTATTTCCGTCGCAAATTTGCGACGGATTTTTATTTTCCGTCCCAAATTTGCGACGGATTTTTTTCCGTCGCAAATTTGCGTCGGATTTTATTTTTGGGGCAAATTTGCGACGGATTTTTTTTCCGTCGCAAATTTGCGACGGATTTTTATTTTCCGTCGCAACTTTGCTGCGGATTTTATTTCCGTCGCAAATTTGCGACGGATTTTTATTTTCCGTCGCAAATTTGCGACGGATTTTTTTTCCGTCGCAAATTTGCGACGGATTTTTATTTTCCGTCGCAACTTTGCTACGGATTTTATTTCCGTCGCAAATTTGCGACGGATTTTTATTTTCTGTAGCAAATTTGCGATGGATTTTTTTTCCGTCGTAAATTTACGTCGGATTTTATTTTTGGGGCAAATTTGCGATGGATTTTTTTATTTCCGTCACAAATTTGCGACGGATTTTTATTTTCCGTCGCAAATTTGCGTCGGATTTTATTTTTGGGGCAAATTTGCGACGGATTTTTTTCCCGTCGCAAATTTGCGACGGATTTTTATTTTCCGTCGCAAATTTGTAACGGATTTTTATTTTATTTCCGTCGCAAAATCCATCGCAAATTTGCGACGGATTTTTTTTTCCGTCGCAAATTTGCGTCGGATCGAAAATTTTCAGGAACCCGCGCGCTATCCCCCCTCGCGCCATCGTGTCCCCTTGCTCGCTCTTTTTATTCCCCCACCACCACAGCGTTCCCCCTCTCTCTCTCTAACTTCTCTCCCTCTTTCTCTCTCTCTAGCCTCCTCTGCCGCTCCTCCGCCATGATCCGCCGCCTCCACCAGCCCCACCTCCGACTCCCTCGCCGCCTCCTCCTCTGACGACGACGCCACCACCAAGCGCGGCAGCTACAACTGCGGCCGCTGCGGCCTCTCCAAGAAGGGCCGCTCTTGCCATGCCGGCTCCTCCCCCTCCCCCGCCGCCGACTGCTCCTCCTCCGCCGCTGCCGCTGTCGCGGCCTCCTCCATGCCCGTCAACGCCGCCGCTGCTGCCGCCTCCTCCGCGTTCGCTGTTGCCCTCACTCCGTCCTCGCTCTCATCCGCCGCGTGCTCTCCTTCGACGACCTCGACGTTCGCGCCGACAAGGAGGAGGACTTCGACGAGGTGGAGCCGGATCTCAACGAGCGGGATCGGGATTTCGTGGACGGGGATGCGGACGCCGGCGGGTTGCCCGCCAAGTGCTTGTGGGAGGTCCTGAGGAGGTTGGCGCCGGCGGAGCTGCTCGCGGTGGTGCGGGTGTACAAGGGGTGGCGGGAGATCTGAAGAGGGTGTGGTGGGCCGCCGAGGATATGAAGCTCAGGGTTCCCTCAAGAGCTCAGCTCTGTACTGAGAATTTATATTAAAGCATGTACTATTGTTGTCAATATTCATGTACTTGATATCAGAGGTTAGAAGGAACTCTACAAGGCTGAGTTTGTGGTAGATATACCAGGTTTCAGCCGTGGATTAGATACAATTTGCATTGTGCCAGTTGTGAGGAGGCCAACCTGTAATAAATTTTTGCTGCACATTCGTAACTATTTTTATAATTCGTTGCTAATTTGCGACGAATTAATAAAAATTCGTCGCTAAATTCGTTCCCGAACAATGTTCGTGGCAAAATAGCGACAAATTTTGCCACGAATCAGTTTGTCGCAAATTATTAACAAAAAAAAAAGAATTTCGTGGTAAATTAGCAACAAATTTTGCGACGAAAAATTAGCGATGAATTTTACGATGAAATTTTGTGACGAAAAATTAGTGACAAATTTTGCGATGACTTTTGCGACGATTTTTGCGACGATTTTGCGACGGATTTTGCGACGATTTTTGCGACGAATTTTGACGAACTTTGTGACGGATAGTGTTCGTGGCTAATTTGCGACAATTTTGTGCGAAATATTTGCGACGAACTTTGCGACGGATAGTGTTCGTGGCTAATTTGCGACGATTTTTGCGACGAAATATTTGCGACGAAATATTTGCGACGAATAGTGTTTGTGGCTAATTTGCGACGATTTTTGCGACGAATTTTGCGACGAAATATTTGCGACGAATAGTGTTCGTGGCTAATTTGCGACGATTTTTGCGACGAATTTTTTTTTCGTCGCAAATTTGCGACGAAAATTGAAATTTTCCGTCGCAAAAATTTGCGACGACCTAGTAGCGACGGAATTTTTTCCGTCGCTAAATTCATCGCAAAAATGATTTGTGACGGATTTTTGCGATTTTTTCGTCGCAAAAAACATGTTTTTTTGTAGTGTAATCTCAGTGAACCACAGTAGTTCGAAAAAAAAAAAAAAACACCAGGCAAAAGGACTAGCGCTGCGATCATCTTCTTGCAGCATACCTTTAGGATCTAAAGTATGTCTTTTCCTTTGGATATGTGCTAACACGAAAACATCAACAAGCTGATTTGAGTTCATAACTTCAGTTTTACAGTGTCCCATGTTTTCCTCGAGGCCAATTTGTGAAGTTTTCTGGAGCACATTGTTGGGAATGTTTTCATTATCATATGGAAATTGAAACAGTAAATTTCAAGAATTCCCGGGGACCAAATGGGGCTTTAGTCAGCCAACTCTGATTCAGTTTAAGCCTAAACTCTGATGTAAGTACATTATAATATGATAACACTAATATGCATAAGCCATCTCACCGGTCCAATCCCACGATAGATTGAAGAAACATGCAGAAAGGGCCAGATTCTCCTTCTCCCAAGTAAGGTCCATAGATACCAAGGGGCTGGCCAGTTCTTTTAAGCTCCAGTTCATCCCTTTCATGCAGATCATTTCTTAACCTATCAGCCTTTTTGACACTCAAATACTTCTTCCCATGCTCCATGAGGTCGATCACTTCTATCTTTTTGCTGCATCAAATTATAAGCAACAAATGAACTTTCACGAAAAAACACACGATGAAACGGAGATTACGGCCCAAATTGAGAATACATCGAACTGTTTATATATTCTTACCTCCTGCTCCTCCCTTCTCCTTCTAGTAGCAGCCACCTCTATATACTTTTCTTCCTCCCATATGCTATATGAAAATGAATAATCGATGGCATTAATTTAGCTGGAGCTCTCCTTTTGAGTATGGTTCCATCGATCCTCAACCTTGTCCGGAAAAAGGTCACTCCACAAATTCTCTTCTGATATGTCAGTCTCAGGATGGTTTCCAATAAATCCCAGTTCCACTCTTGCTTGTGCTTAGGAGATAATTCAGAAACATCCTTTGGAGGGTTTACCTCAGATGGGAGCTTCAGAGCTACTTGAAGTCTTGAAGTAATGATTCATACCCTTCAACAGTTTCAGATACCATGAGGTCCCTACCAGTAGTCTTTCCTTGTGCAGCAATTTATGAGCCAGAGGTGACACTTTTCCTTTTGGGACAACATGCCTTATGATTTTTGACAATATCTTGACAGTGTCCTTTGGAAAACGATAGCCATTGACCCCATGGTCAACCGCATCATCAACAATATATCAGTAGATAGCTCAATTAAATGCTCTCAAAATATAGGAAGGTAGTAGAAACTTTCGATCTTCATAGTATAATAAGAAGCTTATTGCTCTTCGTCCCAAATGCTCTATGACTATTGTGATAAGTCCCAACCCATGTGAGCACCACATGACAATGTTGTCCCAAGTACTCCATGACATTATCGTCCCAATCCACAAGTAAGCAACAGGTGACAATGCTGACCCAGATTTCATCGTTTCGAGCCGAAGTTCCTACAGCTAAAACTGGACGAAAAGTACAAAAGAATAAAACCGTTCCTTAGATGGTTCCATTGTAAACACATTTATAAGGAATTATAGCAATTGATTGCGCCTTCGGCCACTAGTTAGTTGAGAAAGAGTATGAACAATCAAGATGCTGGTTTCATTTTTCTCCCAAGACAAACAGGTCAAACAACCCGAATAAGGGAACCAGGCAGGAAGAGGGAGCAGTTTGGCTAAGTCAACGCATCCCTCACTGTACGAGGGCATATTGGCAAACAGATTGTGATGTCTTAAGTTCTGGCCGTTTGGTCTGGACAAATTGGACATCATCGTAAAGCTCTCATTTGATGGAACTTCTAATCAAGTAACATCTTTTGTCAATCTTGGTCAAACCTTAGGTCCAAACTTAGGTTTCTAAGGTATTTTCAAGTCTAGAACTTGACGGCTCCGACCTCAAGAATAGGGGGCAGATGATGTGGACCGGGCCTAGGATACACATGGTTATGTGATACTTGCACAAGATTGAACACAGGAAGAAGAATATACAAAACATTGAAGGCCCAAGCCCATCCGAAAGTCTGGCCTCATTCAAAGGCCCAGAGCCATTGTCCTTGTACAAATGTGCCGGCTGGGAATTTCGAAGTTCAAATATAAATAGAACTCATTTCATTCTTGTCATGTAAGAGCAATCTCGCTCGTTAAGCTAAAATTATGCTAGTTTCCAAAAGTCCTATAAAAATCATTAGACTTGAGCATCGAAAGGTCCTCAAAAGCATCACTCTCGAGGGACTTCTTCGTCTATGTGTTTTGTGGGATTGGTATCTTTCAAAACCCTCATCCGATTCTTTGGGGCATTTTCCAGATTTCAGAATCATCAAGTGTAATCATTTTCTTGAGCAAAAGATTTTGTCGAAAGATTATTTCCTTCACTATGTAATCCACTAACAAATGTATTAAACATTAGAGAAGCTATATTTGACTTTTCAATAACAATTTTAATTTTTTGAAATTTTTTATATTACTGTTTATAAGACGAAAGAATGAAAAACTAAGCTTTTTCAACAAAATACAGCTTTAGTGGAAATTATGTAAATAGTTGAAACTCTAAAGGGTTAATAGTTGGATGAAGGCTAACACATTCTAGATTTATCACATGGGTGAAAGTTTGTGTTTTTAAGTGGTACGTTCATAAGTTCCCATTGCAATTGTCACAGTTAATTTATTTGGTAATTACTCAAAATTAAATATAATAAATAAATCCTGCTACTTTAATTACAATAAAATTAATATTTCATTTTAAAATTGTACTAAAATCCATAAAGTACAAAAATGAAAATCACAATTTAACTAGACCATATGACATTCCTATTATTTTGCTGGCGGTGGTGATCCAGGTGCTCGTGATGTGTGCTGGTAGCTACTAGATTTGTAATTGAGAGAACATATGCTGATTTAAGAAAGTACAAAAAAAAATAGATAAAGAGTAAATATCTTGAAATAAATTTATGTTGTCATCCCCCAACATGTATTGTTCCCATTGTGACACAAGTACTTTAACCTTCTTTTGTCTCATAAAAAACTCCGAATATACCTTTGATAGAATTAAAATAGAGGGTATATAAATCGCACATATATAAGTTTAAAGTTTTTTCGTGACACCAAAAAGAGTTTTAAGGTAACAACCCATTAACTAAACTATCCTTATTAACTAAAATACACTTTATCAAAAATTTAATCGTGTTATCTACTTTGATCAGAATAAAGTAAAATAGAGTTAATTATGACTTGGATCCAATTCATTCGAAAAATTAAAAATATTGCTGAGAATATGAAGAGGTCGAACACACAAATTGCTTAATTCTGCTGCACTTAGAGAGTCTAAACCACTTTGGGCCCCCACACATCTTAAGCTTATGATGAAATGATACTTCATCGACCGATATATCAAACTAACAATCTGCACAGACTCTTTTCCTTGTCTAACATTATCAATTATATGCGCTTCAACATTATTATACAATGATACTTCTAATGCATATCAACAGAGTTCTACATCGTACCGTAGGAAATGCTAGAGATGATGCAGGCTATATCGGCAGTCCCAGGCCTTATATGCGCTTCAACATTATTATAAACAATGATACTTCTAATGCATATCAACGAGTTCTACATCGTACCGTAGGAAATGCTAGAGATGATGCATGCTATATCGGCACCCCAAAGAGAATAGCAATCTTACAATATTAAGGCAGTGAACTCATGCAAAACCTTACAAGCATTTGCATTGTTGTACCTCTAGAATGAACAACACCACGGTAAAGTTTCCGATCATGGGAAGTCAGATTATAGTATCTGGTTTTTATGATGATCATCTCTACATCGATTAGCTTTGTCCCAAGAACCTTTACAAAAATATTGTGCAGGGTCGATGCATGGATCAAATGCGCCGAAGAGAAGCCAGCCTCTTCTCCAGATCCTCCACATCTGGAGATTCAGAACTGCATTGCGCAAAAATAAAGTAGTCAGAGAAATTAAGTGATAACAGGGAATGTTGATTCTTCCTTTTCTTTGGTAGCCATAAGAACCTACTTCCCCACCATTTCATCAATGATTATCATACTGAAAACTAGCTAAATTGATTAGTATGCATCCTATGGTTCAGGGGAAATCAGGCCCATCATTTTATACTAATCAGTGTACTAAATTGATTAGTACTGATTAGTACTTATTAGCATAACTGATTAGGAAAAATCAGAAACTGTCATTTCTTTATTATATTTATGCGGTCTTGTTTGGCTTGTGCTGACTAGTACTTACTAGCATAACTGATTACGAAAAATCAGAAACTGTCATTTTTTTATTATATTTATGTGGTCTTTGTTGGCTTGTGCCAGTGTCGGCGCACGAGCTCCACTAAGCATTTAAAAAGAACGAGGAGAGAATTATGGAGAGATTATTCAATCTTCAAATTTGAGTACCCATTAGCTCCATAAGGGAGGAGAGATTAAAAAAAGAAAAGAAAAAGAATATACACCATCTAACGCAAAGTTTCAGCTTGTTAGTACTTTGAAGGTGAGTGTCTTCATAATAAACAGTTTCGGGGAAATGTACTAACCTAGTCACAACAGTCTCCACTTTCTTTGATGAGATACGGCCCTTAGGAGCTGAAGATAGCTGTTAGGAACAAAAAAAAGAGGGAAGAAAGTGAGTTCTTTTCAATATCAAAACAATGATATATCAGGAGCTTAGGTTTGTGGACATTGTCTAGAAGACCAACCTGTGAAGCGATATCAACACCAATTTCATCAAGCACCTATAATCAAACATGTGAAATTAGTGACAACCAAAAGGCTTTGAGAGGAGCCATAGCGAAAGGAAAATGACTTACCTGATTAGTCAGCTCCTCTGTTTCCTCTTCAGCCTCATCCTTGTCTAAGGTCTCATCTATAGACTCTGACATCATCTCAATCTATTGGGAAAGAGATGAAACGAACAAATTATTGTGAAAATATATGGACACAAACTAAGATGTTTAGGGAAAGAAATCCAAAAATCATCAGTCAAAAAAAGCGTACAATTTACTCATTCAAAATCCACGCTGGGAGTTAATGCCACAATTACACCAAAATTGACACAAATGCACAAATCCATGCCAAATTCCTTAAAATTACTCTGCTGTAGTTCATTGATTTGCCAGTAAAATATGCACAGTTCAGGACAGATAACATCATCCTTGAGTTATAGGAAACAAGAAATAATAGGGAAAAGAAACAAAAGCATTACCGTCATATCCAGTTGTGCTGACTGCTTCTGAAATTCTTTGATCACTTTGGCTTGTTTTGCAGGAACCATTTGCTGGAAGGTACAAGAAGGAGATTTCAATACTGGTACAAACAAGTAGGCATGTGCTTTTGTGTTTTGATGAAACAAAGATTAAATGATACTGGAAACTTAAAAAATATTTGTACTAACTCTGAAAATCTCATCATGCATCTGGAAAAGGACAAGAAATCAAAATCTCGTAACTGATACATAGTTTCTTATTTCTGGGAAATTTCAAAAGTCAAGACTTCTCGGACAATCAACCAGGGCATATCACGCTGTCAAAATTCCACACATTTTTCATTAAAGAAATGCCAGCATAGATGGCCCACACATCTTCTAGTTGGACCTTCTAGCAGCATTATGATACCATTTACTTGACAGCTAATATGCATACCTTGTTCATTGCGACCATTGCTTTTGTTGCACCTTTCATTCCATTAGAAATAGATGTGCTGGCATGTAATGCCTAAAGGATGTGAAAGTAAGAGAAAATTAAAATTTTAAAATGAAAATTCTCATCAACAGTTGCAATATATGTAAAGAGAGACAAGAGTCATTACCTGAGTATGAGTCGCCACCCCTCTGATTTGAGCACGACTTCCTTGCAAATTAGTTATCTGTTGTCGTAGACGCACCAGTTGACGAGCTAAAATTCTAGTCGCTGCCTGGTTACATAAAGGTGATTGTTCACCAAAACAGACAAATAAAAGTATCAATAAGATGACCGTGCCGTTAGATAACAACTTTATGCAACAAGGGATTAGCTCATGGGCAGCTCCGTGGACTCTAGGCAGCTAGCTTGCAAATCAACCAGGAGAACTTGACAGCAGTCCTTAGTAATCGGAACAATACAGGAAGTTTCCAACAATACAGAGGGCAATGCTGCTTATATCTTAAACACACAATACGGATTATAGATTTAATTAAACAAGTGTGCCCAATGGGGAGGGAGAGAACAACCGGTTATCTAGATTAAATTAGCTTTGCCATCTGTCATAGCATGAAGCAGCTTCTGCCAGAAGTACAATATCTAGACTCTGGGCATCTTGCAATTATATGACCTTAACTTGACAGAGGTTCCCACATCATCTCTGCATTACTGAAGCCATAATACATTGTTATCAAAACAAAGCCATACTACATTCAGCTAACTTTGAGCGGACACATGGACAGGCAGACAGAGCATGCAAGCTCAGAGAGAGAGAGAGATTATCACAAGTTACTAGAGCTTTGTCCATCTGCAGAAAGGAAAAAGTAGTGCACATGTTCCATGATATACCTTGCAGACCAACCATTTAGAGAAGTGGGCATACATGTTCGCAATTGGATATTTAATATTAAAATCAGATAAACAAAAGTGATGCATGTTGGAATTATATATTCTGAATTTACCTTATCTTACTGTTGCTCAATAATTTCTCTATTGAAACCCATAGCTAAGATTTATTTTTTAAATGATAGCCAAAATAAAAGAGGAAAGTTGTAAAGAAGGTATGGTGAAAATGCTTTGCATTTCACATAAGCTGTGGCCTGCATAGGTTGAATAAGGATTACATACACTTATCCTCAATGGACATACAAATTAATCAATGATTTGTTTCCTTGTAATCTATGGCCAAAAAGAAAATTCCAATTGACCATTATAGAAAAAATCAATTGATCATTTCTTAATAATCTCATCAACCATAAAATCTCCTAATTATAGAGGAAAACTGATCTAAAGATTATGAAATTTTCCTTTTCTCTCTCTTCATATTGAATTGCCAAATGCCGAAAGAAATGTTGTCAAAGACGTTATCAACATGAACTAGTAGAAATTTAAGTAACCAAAGTAAATTGACAATTTGCAAACAAACCTAATGCTTGATCTGGTGCTTTTAATGCTTTCAAATCATTTAATCTTGTGATTGTGTTCATTTTGATTCTTTTAGAACTTCAAAAGGTTTGGAGCACAAGTTGAGGGCATAGTTCAGTCTAAATGAAAAACTTCCCATTCTAAGCATGTTTGTTAATAATTTGTTTTGAAATAGTTCAAATGTTTAACATTGATTAAAAATCAAATTTTGAACGCCGCAAGAAAATGATAAGGCAAAAGGTCAGTAAAAGTGTTCGATCAAGATGTATATCAATATCAAATAGTCCTACAGTGAAGGCCGTGCCAATAAATCTCTGGAATAACAATATTTCAAGTACAACATTATAGTCAAAAAGTCCAAGGGTAGTTTATTCCCTTGGAAATATGAAGTGATTCAATTTGTGCAACGAGAGATCCAGACTGAATATAGCAGAAACCAGCTCTATGAGTACCAACTTACAGTTTCATTATATTCGAAATTGCAGAATGCATAAATACAGAAACTACTCTCTCAAGTAAAGAGAGGAAAGTACTCCATGCAAGCAGTTTGACCATTCAAAATTGCAGGATGTGTTAAAACAGAAACTACCCTCTCAAGTAAATAGTGGAAAGTACTCCATGTAAGCAGTTTGACCACTAAAAGCATAAACATCAAACACTGGTCCCTCTTGTCGAATGCAGTTGGTGTTTTGTGAATCATACTTCCCACAAATAATTTCCTAGCTAAGTAGTCATGATACTAGAAAATAAGTAAAAATTGATTTTTTTTAACTCAATAATCAGAAGGTCCAGCTATCTATCCTAAGTATATCTAGATAGCATTAATGGGCAGAACTGCTGTAATATGATCACGTTTATATAGTCAAATGTCAGCCCAAAATCATCATAACAAGTTCACTTAAGTCAAAATAATTTAATCAAGAAATAACGATATATGAGCTGATAGTTAAATTAGCAAATGTTCAATAATTAATAGGAAAAAAACTTGCCTCGTTGCCAGTCTTGGCTGTTTTCTTAATCTCTGCCACCAACTTTTTCTCCTGAAAGCTCATTAGCAGATAAAAGATTCAGCAAGAGAATACCCATGGCAATTCACAATCAGCAAGTAGTAGGAATATACCTCCAATTGAAGGGATGCTATCTCTCGTTCAATACCTGATAAATAAAAAGAGATGGCTAATGATATGTAAAGAAGAACATGAGCGAAAGACGAGAGCAGCTAATATGGAAATTTCCAGGCAAAAGTGGAACTACCAAACAAATTGATCTAATATTCTCACTCTGTCTACCTGCAAAACTCCTTGTGACTGAGACAACTGAGGGTTGACAAGAACATGCTTGCTCCTATTTATCATGTTAGAAGAATATGGGGAGGAAAGGCAGCTACATATGGATTATTGCCAGTAATAAAAGTTGATCTGTGAGAAATCAACTGGCATCTAATAGGCCTCAGAGACAAGTCCATGTACCAATTACAGCTGAATAGTTGCCTTTTCCTTTTATTTTCCTTTTTGTTTTGTCCAGATAACTCACAATACCGCTATTTCACCACACAAAATAGAAGAAGAAATTTCTATATCCTTAGTGAAGTTTGTAAGAACTTCAATAGTGAAGACCTGCTTTCAGTCAATTACAAGTTTTTGATTTCTAGTCTCAATTTGTTGATTCCTGCTATCCACTTGTATGTTGAATATTCATAGGCCAAGTTTCTAAAAAAAGATCAGGCCTGACCATAAATAGCCATGAATTGGCCCAGATCAAATCGAGTTGGTTCAGTCTTGGCCGGAACAGCAAAGACCCTTTTTTTTTTTTACCAATTTTCCAGAATAAACAGCAGTGCACCAATCACACTAGTGCATCTAGCATATGCGACATATCTTGAATTGACCTACTAGATTCCGATGTGCAACACCTGGTACACAAGAAACTATATAGAACAAGCAGCCGTACCTCGTGTGGCAACTGCCATTTCTCTCTTGCTGCTTCTGAGGGCCTCTGTTGAAGAACACAAAGACGAAGAAGGAGAAGTCACTACAGCATTGAACATTCAGACGGAAAAACAGAGCAGAGAGGGGAAAATAAAACACACAAGCTTCAAGATAGAGGAGACAACACGGAAGTCTAGAATATCCAAGTTCCTAGCAGCGAAATTACTAGTTACACATAGCCCAGATGAAAAATCCACAAAAGTACTCGAAAAATTTAACAAAAAAACACAGACATCTGAAGAACAATTTCTCGAACATGAAATCAGGGACAGCTCCGAATGTACCCATTGAGGATCAGAGCCGTCGATCAAAACCCTTACCCTAAAAAGCAGAACATCCTAGTCCAAAGCGCAGGAAAATTAAAGGGGGAGAACTCAAAATGCTACCTTTTGGGGACGTTTTCTTCCTGAAGATGTCGACGATTTTCGACATTTTTGCTTCCCAAATCACTTCGGGGGAACACCCGCCACAGACACCCGGCAGAAGAGAAGACGACGCTGGTCGACGCCACCCCCCGTAGGTTGTCTCTGTTTCCTTGCAATGCCTAGCAAGTGAGAAATGATGGTCGGTCTTGCGCTTGTCGTGGGTGTCTCTCGCGCTCGCTGCTGCAATAATGGAGAAGGGAAGCAGAGCAAGCTCTGGCCACAGACAGAGAGAGAGAGAGAGAAGGAGAGAGAGAGACTTTTTTTTTTCTCGGAGAGCGTGCTGCGGCGGCTGCTTGAACGACTGAACGAGCGTCCAACGGCATCACCCCAACTAGCCGTTGCTCGTGTCCCCCTATATTATTATTTTTCTTTTTTTCCCTTGAAATACTTGCGGCGACGGATCCAATTTGACCCCTTTTTTTCTGTTTTATACTTTAAAAAAAAACAATATTTTCGGGCACTTGTTAAATATATCTTATCTAGGATAATTTTAATTATTAGAAGAGGGGCAATCGATAGTTTTTTTATTTTCCTATGGTTTTAACTTTTAAGTGATTAATTATAGAAACATTACAGAAGGTTATGCATTAATTGTTGTAGTGAGGGGTGTAAACAATTATTGAAAAACTCTAGAATTTGCCTTTGATAATATCCTTAGTTTGTGCCCGGGGCACTAGTTGACAAGATTCACTTAAATTTTTTTTTTTATAAAACTAGTGTTCATAGTTCTTATTAAATATATATCATAAAAATTATTTTGATTTTCTAGACACAGATTATTTATTCATGAAGTAATTCATTGGAATATATGCAAATAATAAGACTAGCAAAACCCTCTATCCTGCGTTCAGAACTTTGGATACGGATAATATAATTTGTCATCCTATCTGGTGTTTGGGATATCCTCCGGACTGATTAGATTAAGATAATTTCAAATAAAATGCATTATAAGAAACTCGAGGTAAAAGTGAAATAGACATGAATCGAGTAAGAAAAGTGAGAAAGAACTTAACAAGAACAAGAATAGTAAGATATTACATGAATATAAGTTGCGCTCCCTAAGCGACACCACCTCAATTTCCTTATCTGCCACCACCACTTTGTTTTTTTTTTAAACCCCATTAGTTTGATGTCGTCGCGCTAGGCCACATGACAATAGCCATGGAAAGGCGATGTCGATGGTCGCCACCTTCAATCGTGCCCATTATGGCAAATGCGATAGCCACAATCCCTAAATTTAGGGTTTTTCCTTTCGGTTCTCTAATAGAAATTAACTTTCTAATTTGCAACTTTTTAATTTAATTTAATTTAATTTATTTGTTTATAATCTTATGTTAAAATGTACCCTACACCTGGCAAAATTAGATACGTCCCTCCCTATCTGAGAGATTTTTTATCCCACTTTTTCCTCTAAATCTAAATCCTTACTCTAACGACCAAACGGATCTCTATGTACGAACCTATTTTTTCGAAAATTGTGATGTTTCTAGAAAATACATTCAAAAAGTCATTTTTCAAGAAAAATATATATTTTGAAAATTTCGACATGTGGCTAAAATCTTCCAAATGGGTTGGAAATCATAATTGCCATTTGGAGTGGAAAATTACTTTCTTCTGGTAGTAGATTTTCAGGCATCGCGATTTATGAGCTTGGAGTTTGGTTTGGGCCCAACTATTTCCCAAAAAACGCGTGGAAAATTAATCTGAGTTATGATGATGATGTCCGTCAATTTTCTCATTTTAAGTCTTGGAAGAAAAATAATTTTATAGAATCTGATTCCGAAAGAACAAATGATTACTGGATCATATCTTCCCTATCTTCCTTCTACCAATGTGCATCACCTAAAATCATCAGGAGGAGTAACACGTTGTCTTTGTTGAGAAAATATTCAGTGGTTTACACACGCCACGTCACGTGCCTACGTGGCGTGCGTAAACCCAGGTGGACCACTAATAATAAGACACGTAACTGTGACGTGGAATAAAAAAATAAAGCTATATTTGGTTTCTCTCTTCTCTGACGCCCTAGTATAGAAGACCTTCTCTCCTCTGTGCCTATAGAGGAGGCGTGAGCAAGGAAATGAAATAATAAATGCGTGCATTAATTGTTGTGTCTCTCTCCCCCTCTCCCTCTCTTTCCTCTTTCACGTTAGTTTGAATTCCATTACTTTTTCATTCTTCTCCTTCCCTTCTACGCTTCTTCTCATCTCATCCTTCTTAGCTTTTCTTCTTCACTTTCATCGTCAGTGGCTCCGGAAACCACCGGTGAAAAGCGGAAGGCCGGTCGCAGCGGCTGGGTCCCGAGAACCCCCTCCACCTTCCGACTTCGTCCTCCCACCTCCGTCCTCCCTCCTCCGTCCTCCCGCCTCCGCCTCCCCCTCGCGGCCTCCGCCTCGTCGCCTCCCCCTGGCGGCCTTCGCCTCAACCTCGTGGCCTCCGCCCTCCCGCGCCCGTCCTACCGCCTTCGCCAGCCTCGCGGTCTCCGCCTCCGCCCTCCCACCTTCCGCCTCCTCCCCCCCCCCCCCCCCCCCCCCCCCCCCCCCCCCCCCTCCGCCTCCCGCTCCCCCCCCCCGCCACGCCTCCCTTAGCCTCGCGGCCTCCACCTCCGCCCTCCCGCCCCCGTCCTTCCGCCTCCACCTCAGCCTCGTGGCCTCCGCCGGAGAAAAGTCGCCTCGGCCCTCCCGCTTCCACCTCCGCAATCAGGCAGGCGTCAATCTTTCCGGTATTTATATACTTATATATTCCAAATTGGATGATCATTTTCCGTTTGGCATTAATAATTAGGATTCGGGATGTCCAGACATTTGTCTAATAAGTCTCTCTCCTGTTTTCATGAGAAACGTACCCTCTCACGTTCCAATTTTACGTCCATGTTTTCTTCTCCATATCATTCAAATCCATCTCGAACAAGACACATGCGCTAAGAAGCTGAAATGATGATAGACACGTATACATATTTTTGACAGGATAACCATTTAAAAAGTCACAAACTTATTAAACTTATTATACGGCGATCGATATAAATCCTGAACTTTGTGCCGATTCATTATTTGCTTTAGCAAGTACAAGTAACCATTACAGCTTTCTATTTGTTTTTTAATCGGACTGTAACAGGATCATCTATCGTGCACATGCTTATACAAATCTCCACCGCCGATAAAAATTTTTATTCTCATAAACCAATAGCTGAAATTAATCGATGGCCGCCTTCTAGAATTGATCGTCGAGCCTTGTTTACACGAGTCCAGTGTACCAGGATACAAAAGGTCTCTCTCGATGTAACTTCCAAGCAATGCGTCGATGACTTAGAAAAAGACTTACCAAACAAATAAGCTGCCAATACATCTGGAGTTAAATGACAGTTTATTTACATGTCAAAATTTCATATAGAATATACAATTTACAATGACTAACAGAGGGAGGGCGGGGGGGGGAAAAAAAACATTTATTATTTCATTTCCTTGCTTACGCCTCCTCTATAGGCACAGAGGAGAGAAGGTCTTCTATACTAGGGCGTCAGAGAAGAGAGAAATCAAATATAGCTTTATTTTTTTATTCCACGTCACAGCTACGTGTCTTATTATTAGTGGTCCACTTGGTTTACGCACGCCACGTAGGCACGTGACGTGGCGTGTGTAAACCACTGAATATTTTCTCGTCTTTGTTCCTCCATTTGAATACTCAGCGACAGTCCTTATAAGTCAGAACTACTAAACTTCTAATAATACATGTATTTAGGATAACACCCCCCTTTCAGTTCGGATTAAAGAAAACTTCCTCTGACCATGCTTTTGATTAGTGAGTTATAAGCATAGACATCACTCGCATAAGTTTAGATTTCTTTCTATGATTCAGGCATCCCTCATGAGTGTTACCACGAGAGTCCCAATCAACTTTGGTCAAGTTCGCATGAAGGAGATGTTTGTTATCAACAATCCGCCGATCAGAATTGTGGTTAGGAAGAGTTTTCTCCGATCAAATTTGAGAGAAAACGTTTTTGGGTTGACAATATCTCAATCCATGCTTTGTTTCTTTCCCCAACGACGACACTATGAAAGGGCTGATTAAGAACATTACAAGAATGTCGACCAGGAAAAGGGATTTGGAAAATATGCAGCGTTTTGAGCTTTTTGTGGTACTTTCACGAGCAAGATTCCAGAAGAAAAAACTAACCATGATGAATAAAGATCAAATCTGACCGGAGAATAGTGACAAAACAAACCTCATTATATTGCCGGTTCTGCACCCATCAAAGATAGACGAATCAGCCAAGATTTTCAACGTACCCCCATCTTCCTAAAAAGTACCCGAGAAAAGCTCCCGGTCATGGCCATGAAATCTGAAAGTGATACTGTCAAAAACTTATGTCAATCATATCACAAATGAGAAAAGATTGCATTTTAAAATAGCAATATTTAAATTATAATTAATATTATCAAAAATCTCAAACTAATATATCTATAATAAATTTATCACAAATTAATTTTTTAACCACAAAAAACTCTAAATTAGTACATTTATAAATTTACCCCCGTTAAATTATATTAATACAATGAAAAATCACAACCGATACACCCAAGACAAACGGAGGATAAAATACCAAACTGGCACATTCGTCAACTGTCACATGTCGTCCAACTAAAAAATTTGACGAAAAAATTTAACGGAAACTAACGGACGGTAAAATTGTCATAGGTGTATCGGTTTTGGGTTTTTGATGGTCAAAAATTTAGTTTTTGGTAAATTTGTCATAAGTGCACCAGTTTGGAATTTTTCGTGGTATTAACCAAATTACAAGATTTGATAAACATATATGTTTCGCCGAAAAGTTGTGGAGGACAAACCTTTTAAATTAGAGTAATTTCTCGGAGAGCATGTTGCTGCTTGAACGAGTGTCCAATGGCATCACCCCAAACTAGCCGTTGCTCATGTCCCCGATATGAAATTTTCTTTTTCCATGAAATACTTGCGTCAACGCATCCAATTCGACTCGTTTCTCTCTATCAATTGAAAAAGACAGTATTTAGGACACTTGTTAAACATATCTCATTTATAATAATTTAATTATTAGAAGATGGTAATCCATATATTGATTTTCCTATAGTTTGAGTGATTAACTAAAGAAACATTACCACGATAATGCATTAACTGTTATAGTGAGACGTGTCATCTGTTACTAGAAAAATTGAAACTTTCTCTTTCAATGGTATGCTCTTCCAATGCCCTGGGGAACAATTCAATCTTTTAAACATTGATCACTCATAAAGGAGTTCATTGGTATATACAAAC